TTTCATGTTGATTGCGATTTCAGGCAAACATAAAGGTCGATACGAGCCAACGGTTTAGTACCCGCACCGCGGCCGTACGGCGCTGGGTTCCACAATAGTAAGTGCCAAGTTCGACACCAGCGCAAAGGACAGCTACCGCTTGGCTTAGGCATAGCGCAAAAAGGTAAATGCCAACTTGTAAATTGCGTACATTTTTCTTACTTAGAAAAATTGGCGTAGTGATGCGGTAAGCGGGAAGAACTGGGGGCGCGGATAGAGCGGACGGAGCGGTGCGACATAATGCCACTTTTTTGGTAATTTTTTGTTGTCTAAATTTGAAAATACGTAAATTTGGTTGCCGCAAGGCTTGCAAATGCACAACGTTACTGCTGTCAATTTATTGACAGCAATTGAAGTTAAATAAAAAGCTTTGAAGGTGCTCGGTGCTCGGTTCTCGGTTCTCGGTGCTCCAAATTCAAACTCAAATTTTAACAATAAATTCAAAAAAAATAAATAAAAATAATAATAATAATGTGAAAACAGAGATAAAAGCAAAAGTGAAGCCAGTGGTGATGGCAGTGGTGGAGATGTTCTCTTGGAGGATGGCGCTCCTCGCAGCTTACAATAAGACATAATTCGCACTTATTTTCACCGAAAGCAAAGGAAGCGTAATAATTTAGAACTGATTTGCACACGATTACAATTTAAAAATGAAATATATTTGTATATACATACAATATATACATAAATATATAAATACAATGGATTTGTGAAAGAAAAAAACAAAACAATAACGCTAAAGTAAGCAGAAAAAATGCCTTGACAGTAACATAATTAATATCAGTGAATTTTGCTAAATTCAGAAAAGATTTTGACTTTTATTACCGGCAAATTTGATTTGTGGTACAATAAGTTGCACGAACTGTTCATTTTCAGTATTTATTTAATGTTAATTCAAAAAATGGAAAAATATTCACACGGTATATGTCTACTTTAAAAAAAAAAACAAAAAAAATTTATTGTGAATATATAATAGATGCTTTCAACATATTTTATATATTTTACTTGTAATTAAACATGTTTAAAGTCATACGAAACATGCGTTGAGATATGCAGAACATGTTTAAAGCCAACGAAACATGGTTTGAGATATATGGAACACGTTTAAACCCATACGAAAAATGCTTTGAGATATGTAGAACATGTTTGAAGCTAACGAAACTCGGTTTGAGATATGCAGAACATGTTTAAAGCCAACGAAACATGGTTTGAGATATGTAGAACATGTTTATATCCATACGAAATATGCTTTGAGATATGTAGAACATGTTTAAAGCTAAAGAAACATGGTTTGAGATATGCGAAACATGTTTAAACCTATACGAAACATGCTTTGAGATATGTAAAACATGTTTAAACTCATACGAAACATAGTTTGAGATATGTAGAACATGTTTGTAGCTAATGTAAAATGCTTTGAAATATGCAAAATATGTTTGAAGCTAACGTAAAATGCTTTGAGATATGCAGAACATGTTTCACTTACAACACTAAACATAAGTATTTAACGGCAATTTAAGCACTCAGTAAAGTCAAATTGCTAGAACCTAGTTTTAGATGAATCGTTAGAAATTCTCTTTTGTTAAACAGAATCATAAAAATTGGTCGTTATTGAGAGCAAATTCATATAAAAGTTACTAAAAATATGATTTCATTAATTACTGTGTATTCGTGCATATATTTTCCAACAACTCTAATTGTTCTGAATAATTAACTATATATTTTTATTACAAAAATGCTTAAAATCTTAGTAAACTTATAAATCATATATGTTTTTTCTTCAAACCAATAAACTTTAATTTTAATGTAGATTTATAAAATGGAAATGCAACTTGTTGGCAACCAATATATGAACCAAACGAGTACAAAAGAACTAAGCAAACAAACAGACAGACCGAGCAATACTGAACAAATATTCAAATGTACTGAAAATATAGCATAAGGCATCGCAAAAACAAATTGGAGACAGTTGCATTTAATAATCGTAAATTGACAATATGTGGCCACTCTAAATATTATTTATGTAGTTGCATGTACGCCCACTTTAGACACAAAACAACGAGTTCATATATAAGTTTTTGTATATGTACTTACATAGAGTTTTGTAGGTCAAAAAGTACTTCCAAAGTCCATACACACTATCGTTTTGTAATCACTAAAACTTGGCAATAAATTGTTAAAAAAAAAAAAAATTGAATAACGAAACCAAATAATCAAAAACAAAGAAATAATCTGTAAATATGTTCAGATGAAATAAAATATAAAAATATGTTCAATCAATAAACAGTTTTTTTATTATATTAGGTAGGTAGGTTGGAGTGTCGGCCTTGTATCCCAAAAAGCCCACTTGAGCTCAAATGGTGGCCCATTGGGGTACCACAGGAGTGACGTGGGTATGTACATAGATTTAGATCAGTATACATTCAACGCCGAACGAAGGTAACGACTCCCCCATAAGGTAAAGAAAACCCAACCTGACAGTTCTATAAACTTGGCTAGGTCCCTAACATTACAGGATGAGGAAGACCAGTAAGATTGAGACATCAACATGCTGTTTTCATAATGTGTTATTTTCTCAAAGTTGTACTGAACAATCATTTGAATTATCTATTTTTTTACAAATACTTATAGATTGTGGCACTAAAAGCGTGTTTACATTTCAAAATTCACAAATCGGCATACATTTTGTCTAGCACCATAACTGTTTTTGGACGAACTTCATGAATTTCGTTACGCCACCATTTCATAGTTACCAAAAAAAGTGGATTATACTTGAAAATAAAAATTTGTTATATGATGCATCCTTATCTGGCCAAAAATAAAGACTATATAAATTTTCAGAAATTAAACAATCAATCTCTCTTATTTTTTTTACTGACTTGGATTTTTCAAATCACTATAAACCACACAAATTAGGCTAGAACAACTGATCCTTCTGAATAGAGTTGTGGTTGAAAATTAGAAACTTTCTGGATACCCTATATATACAATATAAACGGTGACGTATGTAAAAATATGCAGTTAAGGAGTTGGAAGCAGTTTGTTTTCTACGGAATAAAAGGGTGATGGAACTGATAGGCGAATTACATCAATTTCATCTCAACAGAATCAATAAATTTAGTTTTTCGTTTTTCGTAAAATATTATTACAATAAAAATAAAAGCAATTTCATTTTGTGATGATTTTAGTTATTTTTCATTAGCATTGAAAAATACAAGATAAATCTATCACATCATACTAATGTTTACTGCAAATTTTTTATTATGCTTAACTTTAGTCAAAAAACAAAAATTATAGTTTGCTTGGAATCTTTACATAAACTGAATTCTTTCACTCATCGCCGCTTTCGTAAGGTTGATCCTGGTTTCCATTTCCTACTGGTAGTGGCTCATCAGTATCAGTTTTACGCCCATTTTCTTCAAGAAGTTCAACACTTTCATTCGAACGATCTTGATTAACATTTTGTGGTAGAATAGGTGCGACGTCTTCTGTACCTTCGTCATCTCCTCCCAGAGAAACGTTTAGACCTCCTTCCCCCATTCGTACTTCTTCATTCCTGACAGTGAACACTACTGCCTGCAGATCCACTCGAAGAGCAGCATAAGTCCTAGTCATATTACGCAACCTATATTGTATTCGCATCATTCTGCTTAATAGGTTCACAGGAACTCTACGATTATAATTACGGTTTATTCTTCTACTCAATCCGACTAAGCGCCCATTTTCTAAATTGATGCTGGCATAAGTTCTTCTACGATAACCATTCCCGTTTTGCATTGGGTCGCTGTTACGATTGCTGGATGAAGGCATGTTGGTTTTTCAGATGACAAGTTATTTAAAACCAGTTTTTCAATTTGGAAAACACAATAACACCACAAAATTTCTAATTCACCAAATGACAGATTTTAGATATAATTTTTGACATTTAAATTTTTTTTATTAACTACTATGTTAATTAATTTTAAATACACATTGTTTAATCAATTGTGAAGAGAAGTTATCAAATATCGTAATGAGTTCTCCTGCGATATTAATATAAAGTTTATTGTAAGTCTGTATTGCAACTCTCTTTAGGCCTGAAATATGCACCGTCGAGATAAATTTTGGAAGAAGGAATATAACTAAAAATATTTTTAGATCAACAAGCGAGCCAATCTAGTTATATCTAGTATTGTACATATGTTTTGATATTGATATGAAGATATAAGTAGCTGGTTCTGTTAATAACAATCATTGTTCAATTAGTTTCTTTTTGATATATGGTATCAAAAGGAAAACCGTTGACTCAATTATCAGAAGAATATGGCGAATGACCCATTAATTCAAATATTCAGAGTATTTGAAATGCAGTTGTTGTAAGAATTTTTTGTCATTTGGACGAACTAAACATTCATATCAGTTCACTTATCTAATTTCTTCGAACATTTTTGGCAAACAAATTGTGAGGCATGGAGATGGCCGATCTAATATGTTTATATTAGATATATATGTATAAATATATATTAGTATATATATAAATATATATATATGTATGTAATAACATTCACACAAAAATATAGTATTTAAGATTCTTGTATTATAATACTATAAAATAAGGATATTGACAATGATATCCTTAAACAAGTATGCATAATAAAAATCACTGCTTAAAAATACACCCTGTAACTGTTGTTTATTTACAACTACACAGTTTTTTGATGAAGTCAAGGTAAATAAACAAATCAGTCAAAATGATGAAGAAAGGAAGATTAACTGCACCCTGCCATTATTTGAACAATTAAGATAAATTTGTGATAATATCTAAAAAAAAAGCAAATTTTTTTATTCAACTTTTATTTAATTATTTTATAGACAAATACAAAATATAGCATTTTGCTTCATATGTAGTTTTACATATTAAATCAATAAATTAAATTAATCGATATTAATTGATGATATGTTATTTATCTTCGATCCGACGTTTTCACAATAAAACGTTAAAAATATAATGACTTCCGAGGCTAATATTTTAACTTGAAAATATATTTATAACGGCATTTTCCGACCATCAACAGAAAGACCCTCAACTGGCTTAGATTGTTTTAAGCGTTTCTGACTAGTAAACTTTTTCATATGCTTTTGCAATAAACTTGGTTTTTTTTTAATCTATGCGATAAGAAAAAATAAAGTTAGTAAACGAATTTAAAAGTACTCAGTTCTCGTACTTACATTATGCACACTTTGCTCTAAGTTTGATTTTGGGCGTATAACATAGTCTTTACGCGATGGTGATGGAATACGTGCTCGAGCCTCCAAACTAGTTTCTTTGGCCTTTGATTGATTTTTACCTTCGATAGAACTCTCAAAAGTAACTTTCTTCTCAGTGGGTGTGGTTGGTTTGGGCTCACAAGACAGCCGTAGTTTTGGCATTTGTGCTAGTTGCCGTTCTCGACGTTCTACTCTAGTCATAGTCTTCAAATTATCATTTATGTCGAAAATCGAACGTGCCCATTGCGAAATTAAATGGGCTGCCCGGTTCCGATTTTCTTCTGTTTCATCAGCATGTTTAGATAAATAATTTACAACCTTTCCAATGCCTGAACGTTTCAAGTAGCTCTTGTCGATAGGAGGAAACTATACATGAAATTGAATTATAAATGAAATATTGAAGTTAAGTTTGAGTGTCTGAAACTTACATCTAAGAGTAATTTCAAAATACTCTCTCGTATATCATAACATGGTAAGGTTTTGTCTGGTAAGGGTGCTAACCAATCTGCCAGGACATCCAGTACATTATGTTCAATAAAACTCAATTGCAGGTCTTTCTTAATGAGTTGTGACATCACTGCTTTCAGCATTGAGATTTTTTTAGTCGCGAGCTTGCCACAGAGTTTCAATTGTCGATCCTCATCAAACGCCGATTTCATGTTCGTAATCAACTGATCAATTAAATTCTCATTCTCATTATCAATGTCCATTTCGAATTTGCGACGTGCTGTTCTTCCCCATTGCTTTTTACAAAGAAACATGGCATCAAAATCAGACACCTCTGAAAAATCATCACTTCTGAAAAATTATTACAAATTTATTTATAACAATTTAAGTATATATAAGACAGATAAACATTACTTTTTGTTAATCGATTTAGGTGTAACATCGGCAGCAGAGCTTTTTTTAGTATTGATTACATTCACGTTTCCATGTTCACTTGCACTGTTTCCAGATTGCTCCTTATCAACCTTACCGGCATCAGTTACATTGGGGCGTTTATTTAATTTTGCTTGCTCCTCACCGCGCGAACAATTATTTACTTGTTTTAAACCAGACCGACTACGATTACTATTAGTAGTACGAAAACTGTTTGAGCCACTTCTCGATCGACGTCGGCTATTACTTTCAGATCCCTTTGAACCTGATCGAGATCTGATTCGTAAGCGGCTGCTGCGCAGTGTAGTGCCATTATCACCATGCAAGCGTCTACTAAGGCTTGAATGCTTTGAACCTGAATTTAAATGGCCTTCACGTAAAGCACATATTGAATTGATAGTTGCATTACCGATATTCTCATTTAATTCAATGTTTTCTTTTTGCTCGTTGCTCTCTTCAACAATATCAGGTGGAATGAGTGGTTGCGTTAATACTGACATTTTCACAAGATTTCGATATTAATTAATTATTTCATACACATAACCTCACAAATGTGAAAGATATGCACTTACCATAACTTTCTGATTCCATTGTTGTATAAATTCCTCCAATATTGGATGCGAAACAGCGAAGCCAATTGGTTTTGCACTTCCTTATCGCGTGGTGATCGTGCAAAGAAAGAAATGACATTTTGTAATTCGTGGCTTCACTTTTGTGTTTGTTATGCACTGTTTACACTTACAAGCGTTGTTTGATGATATTCAGTGAATATTAATAAGAACTTTCTACTTATATAAGTATTACTAATAATATATGTATATTACTAAACATATATACAATATATTAATAATATTTATAGTGGATTTATTTAATAAAGCGTTATAAAGCTTACTTATATAGCGTTATGTAGCGTTATTAAGATTATTTCATAACATAAAAACCATTCGTTCTTTTAGGTTTAATTGCGTTTATATTTCATATTTATATTATATTATATTATTTATATATATATATATATATATATATAATTTAATTGCAGATGAATCTGTTGTAAGCAGATTCTTGGTACAGGTTAGTTGAAATTAATTTATTTTTCTGATTATCATAAATATTATTTAACACAATGCACATATCCTCACCATTTGGTTACTATATCAGAGTCTGAACTGCCGAATAAGGCACAATCATAAAAAGTTGCTTGTTCTTAGATGAAATGACTGTCTATATATGTTCACTTTTACAGTTGTCTGATATTATGTACAAATATCTGTTTTAGGTAGAAGGTTGTGTCTTGATAATTGAGTTTAATGTCGATCGTCATACTGTGTACGTATACGTATCGTATAAGTTTTGTATGAAAATGACGCTTTTCATGAGTGCTACCCACTCATAGATATATTTTCTATTGTTTAGGTAGTCTAAAACTATTATTGTGTTTCATTCTTACTGAAGACAGTATCGTCAAGATTTTCAAATGTTTATATTTTATGTTTCGCTTGAGTTTTTCATTTGGGTGTAACAAAATATTTTTCCCAGTTGTGAAAGCGACACCCTATTACACTATTTCGACAGTTACAATTAAACTAACCGAATCTGAAATAATTTAAATTTGACCAATAGATGGCGTTGCTTATGCTAATGGAATATTCAGACGTGCTTAGTATAGCAAATTTGTTATTCGAAAAAATCATTAAATTTTATACGTATTTGTTTGTGTCAATTTACAACGTCTCCGTGTCATGACGTTTCCGAGACATCAGGTTCAGTATTTTTTTTTGTTCCCCATAAAACATCCATTGGTTTAACTGCTTACTAATTTCTATTCAAAATAGAATTTGATAGATCTGTTTAAAGATATGCGGGGTTTTCTGTATTTAATATTTAAGAATTTCAATTGTTCGAAATACATACACAAGCCAACCCAAAAATATTAATGCAATTATGCATGTTATCATATGTAGAAGATATCAGGTCTGTCCCAAGAGTTACTCGTAGTAAAACTCAAGTAAAACACAAGTAAAGTACAAACTGAGAACATAACACAAATAAAGTGCCAAATTACACTCTTTACACAGATTTTCATGGAACAGCTTTGTGTAAAATCTGGTGAGAACACCAGTGCCGCGCAAATAAACAACACAAAAATTTAAATTCAAATCAAAACAGCTGATTCACACATGAACACAAATTTTACTTCAAATAAAATGTGTAAGTAAAGTTTTTGTAGCATTTTCAAATTTCGACAGGGATGTTACATTTTCTCTAATGGTCTCATTTACTCGAAAATTTGCTTGTATAACGCACTTATGTTTAAATAGTGTTAGTCAAAGTTATTTCGAATGAAATGAAACCTATTATTTCGAATGAAATGTTAGGTTTAAGTTTTCTCTAGCCAAAGTATGGCATATGGCTTAACATGTGATAAAACGAAAAGCAAGAATATTTATCTATTTTAAATAATAACTAAACAATTTCAATTGGGTCAGATATACGGAACATACATTACTGAAACGTCAAATAGGTAATATTTCATACATTACCGTGTGTGATTAGTTGTATGGTCATCTTGGATTATCGGATTATCAGCTTTGTCCAATGAGTGTAATATTATTGATATTAACGTGTCGTTACCTGGCATTACCTGTGGAGCTACGTTAAAAGAAAAATACTTAGGTATATTAAATAATAATAATTAAGTTATACTGTATTTGGACATATAAACTGATTTTCGTTAATATATTAGACTATAGTTTGGAACCTTAGATGGTGATCTGTATAACCAATCTTCCAAAAATGTACAATGTATGTGCCTTATATCAAAAATTTGCACTGTGATAAACTGAATTAGTTGAGATTTTTGCTTTTTATTTAGTTTAGTGTATATATTTTATTTCTTATATATCTTACTTAAGATATATATAAATTTTATATGTAAAATTTGTATATAAGTAATATTTAGATTTATGAACACAACGTAAACTTTTATTTTATCATTAAATTTCAACTCTACGATGGAGTCTAAATTGTATAGGCTTTCGGCCGAGGAATAGTTTTTACGATATCTCCTGCTTGGTATTATTGTTTTCAACCCAACGTGATAGCTTTTTATTGAGCACACCCATCATTATTTTTGCTTTTGTATTCATAAACGCCACTTCCCTGTAATTGGCTATAACCGAGCTATCTGTCTTCTTAAATATTGGAAATATTATACTCGCTTCAGTGCTTGCATCTCCCCTTCCTTAGTCGTACATCTGATTCTATGCCTCCTCAAGTTGCTCTAAAAATTCTATGTTTGCATTTCTATAAAATTCGTGTGGGATTCTATTTAATCCTTGCACTTTCCTGTCTTTCGCGTTTTTCAAGACCTGCAATATTTTACTCAACGTTATAGCTTTGTCGAGCTCGTCGATTTCTGCAAGGTTTGGCGTATACTGCATATCTTTCACCATTAGTCTATGATTGAAAAGATTTTTAAACTGTGTCTTAAACTTATTTGGCGCAATTCGTACCTCACTTATTTTTTGCCATTTTTAATCGTGTTTATGCGTGTCTCTAGATTTCTATAATATTTAGTTTTACTTTTTATCACATACATCTTTATATTTCTTATTCGCTTCTAAATATTTTACTCTAATAGTGCTGCACAGAAAGTTCTTTTATATTTTTAATATATAAAGCAATATGTAAATTAATTCAAAATGTTATCTCTTTGTAGTAATTAATGCTATCATGGATTTTGTAAAAAAACTGCCCAGTAAATAAATATAAAGTGGCAAAGTTCGTATGGAGGCATTTGATTTCACAAAAATATATAGGAACTCAAAACTAAGTACCTTGCAGAAAATATCGGGCTCTCGGTTGTTTTAGTGAACATGGTCTCAGTGTAATGTTAAAAGAGGTAAGTATTGTAAGCTTAACGTTTTTTTAAATATTTAAACATTAAAACTTGCATTTATTTACTTAAGGTATTATGATGGACATCAGGTTTCACAATATCTACATTTAAAGTCCAAGAACTAATGTTCTCATTAATTTTGTACAAATATTTAAACGTTGTGGAGATTTATATTCTGACATAAAAACTGAACAAAGGCAAATCCATTATCCGACAAGCCGACGAATGACATGCTAAGAGACCTTAGAATAGATCCGGTTAAAAAATATATATGGGACAGAGCTCTGAAGCTATAACCGAAAACCTACAGACTGCCTTACTTAGCGCTATCTAATCTCAAAGTAATCACTAACTGTAAGGGGCGGTACGTAGATCTTAGATCAGTCATTGAATAATCACGAAGCTTATGAGGAATACAAAAACTAGTCAGTGAATTGGGTGGAACTCTGCAGAAACCCCCTAGCTATCAAAGAGTAAAAGTACCCAGATGCGCTAACTCGGAAAAGGCTCAACATTAGACAATAACATCAATCATTGATTTAAGGACGTCTCGCACACGGCTAAGTTGTGTTCTAAATGAGGGAAATTCTAAGTTGTGCCGATAATGTAGTGATGTGTCGATACGTGTTGATAAATGGCAGTGTGCAGTGCAAAAAATCCAAAAAAATTTCCCATTTGGTTTAGTATCAATTTAGCCTAACTCGCACACGACCTAAATAGTTATTATATATATGTATGTATTTTTATCAAATATATTTTAAGTGTAAATCGGATTATTTATATGAACGTTCACAGGCTGAGTTCGTTCATAAAAATTTATAATTGCTTTTCAAATTTGTTAAGAGTTAGATTGTGAGGTTTCCATTTAAAAACTAACGGTTTAATACAATTTTTGTTTCAAATGTTACATTTTTTTTTTGAATTTCAAAAATGTTTCAGTGACAACCTCAACTTTTTCATATCATAACTTATTGAATTGCTTACTGCAAATGCCAAAACAACTTCAGAACAAGCAAACAAAATGCGAGGCAGAAATTATTCTAATACAAACTTTTGTCCGACCTATACACATCCCAGGATTTCAACATTTTCGCATATTTTTCTCTATTTGACTAAAGTTTGTTCGCTTCATTTTCTTCTTTATTTTTTTTTTGTATTCTTACTTTCCACAGCCCATAAGCAAGTTTTCAAAATGAAGTATAAAATGCTTACCACTTCAAGGATATAACTTTCCTTGCCCTACTCAAAAGGAAAAAAACAACATTTGGTATGCGTAAGGAAACATTTCGCATTCCCATTTTAAAATAAAAGAACAAATTGCGCCTAGAGAACCACAAAAACAGAAAATATGGATTGCCGGCAGCAAATAAGGATTATCGCCGGCCTGCGTCCTTGTTAAGCTTTTCTTGTTGACATTTTATCCAAGCTTATTTTTTGTTTATAATTTTTCAAACTTACTCTAGTCTTGAGTTAATTTAATTTGTTTAACTTTTATGACAGCTTATTTAAATTTTGCTCAGTGCAGCTAAATAGGCATGTGTGGATATGTGAACGGTTAAATAAAAAATATGAGAGCCTAAAAATTAAATCTAGGGACTTAGCAGAGCATTAAGTTCATTTCATGAAGTTAAAATAATAAAATAAATTATAATATAAAATGCCAATGCTGTTAAAAAAATTATTGGAAACTTGTATCATGAAGACTTTGTACTGGTAGTGTATATGGATGTAGAGGCCTAGGCACTATTCCATATCCATTCAATAGATTAATTTAAATAAAAATTGGTTAAGGTTTGGTATATTTATTAAATCTAAAAAGTATCTAAATTCAAAAATTAGAGATAAAACAGCAGTCAGTTTTGTGGATATATTAAATACTTTAATTATTAATAGAAAAATCGCAAAATTTATATTGGCCAAAGGTCGCTTTCTAACCTCAACACCTTCGATTTGGCCTAAACGTTTCATTCCTTTTTTTTATTGAGTGTTTAAATTTTGAATATTTTCCTGGAAGACACATACCCATGGAGTTTCAAAAATTTGTATTTTAGAGCAATTTTTAAATGATCATGTCTTAAACTGTTTAATAACAGATTCATGAAAATTTTTGGTTTCTAAAAATAATTGAATAGTTATAACAATTATAATTGTAATTTCTCAAGTAATAATATTTATTTGCAATCTAATCTAAAATGAAGAGCAGGAGTGAGAGCCGGAACACATATTCTGAGACTGAAAAAATTAGACTGTAGGACAAGATTAATTATCTGCAACAGTAGCGTGGCCTGGACGCAGGGCACACCGATGGAAGTCTTAAATGACTAATAGGAACCCTACCTCGAAGTAATACTAACGTAGTCCCGGGGTAGAACAAGGTCTCTAGGAATGAGGGGGAGTGGTTTAGCCCGTGCGAATCGTGTCCACTTTCCGGGGCACCGGAAAAAAAAAAATTTTGTTTATTAAAAAAGAATTCAAATAAAACAAAAAAATGCTTACTTTTTATTTTTTTAATTAAATGCATCATTACATTTTACTGAAAGTGCAGTAAAAAATTTTTTTATAATTAAAAGTTAATTAAATTAACTAGGAATTAATTAATTATTATTAAAAATTAATTAAAATTATTAAAAATTAATTAAAAATTATTTTAATATAACACTTTTATGCACAAAATTGCCGTTGTATAGAATTTCGAAATTTATACCAAAAAAGTTTAGCTTTCTATATCTGATTCGGATTTATCACTAAATTTCACTTAAAAACTGAAGTTTAAAAAAACATAATAATAAAGCTCTCTCTGTATTCAAAATAAATTTTAATTGGATGGAACATCGAGATATGTAGTATATTTAATATTCTATACCGAAAAGACCTGAAAGCTATTTAAATGTCAATAAGAACCAGATGTTAGGAAAAGCACCGTCTATCTCAATAAAATAAAATCCATTATAACTAGGGATAAGACCTAGACTAGAAAACAACCGACTAATTAAGAGTGTAAGAGTGTACAAAAAGTCAGTGTCATTTTAATTGTTATCTTCGATTATTTTCCATTAAATTAAACTCTTCACAAAAGATATTATTTAAATAGTATCAAATGTTTACTTGATAATTTTAAATCTTTGCATTTTAAAATCAACCTTTGATAAAAATCAATTTATATCCTTTCATAGCTATTATATTCACCTGATTTAGCAGAGTGAAAATTCAATATATTTTATATGTTCAAGACACCATTCCGATAGGATTGAAAAATTAGAAACCCAGTCCTGAGGACTAAGAGAATTTTCGCATAACTGAATTGTGCGGGAAAGGGAATAGTTTATAAGCGATTAAATTATTTAAAAAAATAAAAAGAGATTTTATAATTCATAAACAGTTTCCACTAATTTTACAATGTGAATCACTGAAAAAGTTTCTGACAAACATCAAACATGTTTGTTCATGCACACTTATAATGTTTTAATTAAGTATATATAAATTCATTGAGCGACTGAGACACCTCTATACAGCTACTAGCATATTATATCTTCATAGGAATGCAAGAGACAACTACTTAAGATATAAGAATTCATTTTGAATAATTTCTTAAGGGTATTCATTTTTAATTTCACTATATCTAAGCACTTCAAAGCTAGTGGTCGAATAATTTCGCTGCTAATTGTATATTAAAATTAATTATTTTTTATTCATAAGAGTGTGAGAAAATTTTGAAATTTTAAAATCAAAATGATTACTTATACCAAGGGTGTACTGATTAAATGGTGAGTTACATATTAATCCATATTAGAACTGTTTATAGAAAATTCTCGAAATGTGATTTGAGGTTATGTATGCGTAAAAATTTTTAAAAACGGCGTCAATATGGCTTCATCTTACAAATTTTTTTACATATGTAAATTAATAGAGTTGTACTTGGAGTACTTCACTTTAATGTACATTCAAAGAAAGATTAAAAAGAACGGGTATTTGTTTTCGATATATACCGATTTACATATTGAGTTACCTAATTTTTTCGGCAAAAAATTATAATTATGTTCTATTATTTTTACAAAGAAATGAGACTGAAGCTTCATTAAAACGAAATTTATCTTTTTCTCTTATTTAAATTATTTTTAGGATGTATTCCTGTACTCATATCTAATATTTATGTGAGATTTTTATTATTATTTATGTTCATTAACATTTCAATTATTTTTATTGTACTTTTCGGTTTCAATAGTTCTGATATATTGCATGTACATCCATCGATTTTCATTGCCTACCAAATAGCACAAAAAATATCATCAGCAGATATACAAATGTAATAATAATAAAAACCACTGCATATGAATGAAATTGCTTTTGAAGTAAATTTCCTTTTTAGGTCAAATAAATTATCTGTATATTTTGTTCTTCTATTTCTGATTTTTATTTTTATTTTTCACAATTTATAGAACTCAATTTGTTATGCTGAATTTTATTGTGGTTTTCGGATCTCTAGGTTTTATAGAAAGCTAACTTTACTGAAGTGGTTTGTTTGATGACAAAATCACTTAAAAATAATTCTACAATAAGTGAATTAATTTCACTATATTCAGAATTTTGTGATTTAAATATTGTTTCTTTATATGCCACTACTCTAGTAAGCCAATTAAACTAAAAAATCTTACAATTTTCTAAAATAAAATATTAAGTTTTAAACCAATTACTGTCATAGTCATAGACAGTCATATATCCACTGGTGACTGTGCTTTCAGGACATGACCAAATGGTATGTTATTGAGAAAGTCGAATTTCAACTTTATTTCAACTATTTAGATACTTTTCGTTTGAGCCTAAATGTAAAAGTTAACATTTTTGCGCTTAAAAGACGCAAATTCTGACATTAATTTTTAAGCAACACTGTTTTGACGAAAATGACATGACATGGAAACCATCATAAGGCCCATATTGCGTAAAGTGTTTCGGGCACGTGAAAATTAGCTCTTTTGGGTTTAGACGAAAATGCATGTTATGCAGAGTCAGTTTGTCAATACATTTATTTCCATTAAAAGCAACAACAATTTTGATTTTGACGTGCCCGTGACACTCTACATAACATGGACCTAAGATGTCTGTTATTGAAGTTGCATTAAAATTTGTCATTATTTTTATCTTCATTTAAAAAACAATTTTGTATTTACCCATCAGTTATATTACTACTACTATATACATAGCAGGAGATGTGACTGTTTTAAAATGTGTCCACAATGGCAATTATCAAAACCCCATGAGTCCGAATCTCCTAGCAAAAAATTTACAAAATTTTTTTTCCCGAGTTACGAGTCTTCTTATTTTATGAAAGAAGGTCATAAAAAAAGTTTTAGCCAAATCGTAGAGCATGAGGTCAAAAAGGTGTCCGATTTATAAAAGAATGACCCATATTCATTAATCATGAAAGTACAAGATTTTATTATATGAAATTAAAAAATAGCTAAATTAAAGAACTTGCTCCTATAATCAAGCTTTCGCAAGCACCCCAACTTTGTTTAGACATGTGGTCTTTACATGATCGTTTCTATAATTATACTATTATATATCCACATGTATATTCTTATGCATATGAAACACTTTGTAAGTTCATATTAAAATAAAATCATCATATTTGTGACCTCTTCTGAAAAGCTGCTTTCACATCATGAATAAAAAATTGCTTTCATATGTGAGGCAAGCCCTTTGATGTTACTTACCACCACTTTATCCCTCCATCCTGTATTTTGTCCACAATATCAGCAACAGTCGCAGCATCAGCATCAGCAGTAGAATTTCTAGTAGTATTGGCACTAGCAGTAGTGGCAGCAGTAGTGGCAGCAGCAGTGGCAATAACGTCAATAATATCAAGGACAGCATTAGGAATAGCAGTGGCACTGGTTGCAAAGCACTTGACCGAGAAAAGCAACCATTTTTCACCCTTTGAATATTTGAATTGTTCGACATTATTAAGTCAACAGTTTTATGTGTCTTTTATTTAGTCTAGAAAATCCTTTAATAACTTTGACAAACATTATGGCAAACAAATGCAGGACCGCATATGGATAGTTAGGAGTACAACTTATATTCGCATATTTAATTTTTTTTTTAACCAACATAACAGAGAATATATTTTTGTTCACAAAAAAAAATTCCCATTTTAAAGATACATTTTTGTATGAATGCATTAAACTTAAAAATTATACTTAAAAGCTAATGTAATTCAATTAATGAACTTTACGGATTCGTATAGGTCACCATTTATAATTTTAAATATACATCAACGAAGATATAACATAACATTTTTAGTCCTATAAATAAAAAATTTAGGTGTTCCAAACTTCACTAAAATATTTTGGACCATTTTAAACTAGATTATATCGTTTTTTTCTTAAAATTTTTATAAAAACACTAAATTAATTTTTTAAATTTGTTTCTTAAATGATGTCAAGAATATATTTAAAATATGTTGTTGTAGAGCTATTGCGCACTTTTACTCTTTTATGTTTGGGGGGCTTATCCCTGCCCCACACCAAGGTTTACCTATACTAGAATTATTATCATTTATTTATCTTTTAACTGATGACGGGCCGTAGATCAGCATATCTTACTGTGCGCCCTGAGGTGGACTTAAGGTTTGTTAGGTCGGGGTTAGGCAACGTATCAAGATTTACTGAATATTACATTTGAAATTTTCAATATTCAATATTTTTCAATATTTTGTATTAGAAATAAACAGATTTTTAAAATTTAAACAAAAAAAAAAATTATGCTGAGATTTACAGCATGAGATAACTTTTTGGACAACAGCATTTATAGCTAATCTAATTCCTAACCTAATCTATTCCTAATCTCTTAAATACGTGCTTTGATTAAGAGAGAAACATAAAATCACATATCACAACGTTGATTCTAGTAACTACTCCCTTGGTTGGGAATGTTGTGAACTTAATCACCTTTTCAGACATTTACATTTATTGCTTTAAGTAGCTATAGACTGGAACTATTAATATTAATAAATCTAAGCGATTCGCCATTAATTTGTCTTCAGTCGTAACTGAGTGCAGAGAACATTTAGGTAAATATATTCACTTTCTCAATTAAGGTTAATCCAATAATGGTTAGTTGTTTACCATTAATCATGCCAATACTTAATGGATTTATGTTATATACATTATTAAATGATTAAGGACGCTCTTATTTTTAACCTTTTCTTGCCAATACCTATACTCATAACTTGATAATCTTATCAAGCGTTAATTCACATATTTCATTCCATCTAACATATGTAAACAAGAATAATCTGTATAAAAAGTTTACGGAATTTGTAATTTAAAAATCGCGCTTAAAATATATTGCAAATTTCTGGTATTGTGACCTGCTACCATTTGAAATTTCTTACACCAAAGTTGTTACTTTCAATGGCTCTTATTCTGTAACTTATATTAAAAACAACAACAAATGCAGTAATTGGTAATAATTTGATCTATTAGATTATAATATTTTTAAAGCGAGTTCTCGACTCTCAAATATATACATCACTTGACCCTGTAGCACATGACATTGCAATTGTTATTATTACTATTTATTCTTAGGAGATGTGCCCCTTCTAGGTTTAGAGTAGGTCTCTAACCTCTGTTGCGCCAATAAAAAGTAGTAGTATTGAATGTGCTTTACAGAATTTTATTGCTTCTTCTGTAAGAATATACATTCCCAGGCGCGTATTTCGTGTGACCGACTCTACATTTTCTTCACAAAATCTTTAGGTAGACCATTATAATTTTGCTCCAACAACAAATGCATCTAATTACAATAGTGTGAAACAATTATAACTACTTGAAACCTAGACTGCAATAAAATTGTATACAAAACCGGACAAAGCTAAAAAAAAATAAATAGCAGGAGCACCTCCCAGGTGCATGCATAATATTACAAGGCATCCCGGATTTATGTTCACACATACGGTTAGGCTGCTACTGCTTACAAATTCATCACTTCCAAAACACCATCGTTACGCCCAACAGTCACAAGCAATACCCGATGGAACGGAGAGGTGCAACCTTCCGCCAATAAACAACAAAGCTGAAGTTATAATGTTTTGAGAAAGGCGTTTTAAGCCCATTTCGATCATGAAAAACAATTTAAGGAGATTTCAGGTCATATCTAAATCAGCTCATGTTAAATGACTATATGGTATTGCACTCAATTGTGCCTACTTTAAAGGCGACAAAATTAACATTGATTGATTGATAACTTTTTGTGTATTTTATTTAATATTTGCGGATACTTTGTACTCTAGATGCAATTCAAGTAAATACCTGTCTGTAACCAACACAAAACAAATAAATTGAAAAAATTATGTATCAAAAAAATTAAAATAAAAAATAAATTTTAATGTGTGAAAAAAAAAAACATCGATAATATCAATTTAATCATTTTGTATCAAATGATTTCATTTACAAAATAACATAGTCGAATTCTTCTCCAAGAGCGCAACATGAAATCAGTACTGAAAACCGCAAACAAAACCAAAGAAAAAATCGAAATACAATCTGAAATCGTCAATATTAGTTCTGCTAGCGAAATGCAATGAATAAAAAAGATTCCGTAACGTAACGTCGTGTATCTGCATTCGCATATGCATTGCGTTGTAATTACATATCTATTGATGTATGATTGGAAACATATGTAGACAATATGTTTATATGAAAAATATATACATTTGCAATTTTACTGTAAAAATAAAGAACAACGCAGATGCCACCATTTTTTGTGTTTCACTTTCACATTTTTTTTTAGTTTATTGTTTTTTTTCAAGTTTTTGTTACTTTTAAAAATGCAGATGTCGCCAAAACCATCAATGCACACAGCAAAGTATCTCTCTGTGCAGTGCACAGTTTATAAAATTTTATGCAAATTTGTGCACAAATTGAAAATCACTCCACGTATCGTTTGCAAATTGAGATATTTCCGGTATTTGTCATGTGTTCCAAAGGCACAGCCAACAAAGTTGCCCATACAAAACGGCAGCGAACCACGAGGAGTCGGAAACTCCATCCATCTGCTATCACATATAACGCGCGTTCACAGCAAACATTGAGAGCAGGGCACATTATTGTCGACTTTCTGTTAAAACATATTTCAGAGAGGAATTGATTATGTCAAATAATGTCGCTACTCATGTTTTATTACGTACGATTGGGTGTGGATAAAAATTACTATAACTTAAGTGGAACCAATCACTCAATAACTCCATATACTAGATCCTTTTTGGCTGCATGCAGATATTTTGTTAATTTTATGCTTACTGCAGAGAAAATAACTGTAGGTCAAGTATATATTATTTTCAAGTCATTTTTAAACAAGTCCTTATCACTTGATATAGCTGATTATAACAATATAATATGTTTAAGTTTGTATATAATTAAACTATATTATTTTCATTATAAATGAATTTCTTATTCAAAATTATATTTAATGATATTAAACTATTCCTATTCCTATATTAAAAACTTTTATACTTCGCCATTGGCCTCATGTATTCACTCGGTGCTTATATTATGTGTGTTCTTTTGCGACATTCTTACAAAAGAATAGACCTTATGTTAAACAAAAACATTTAATTTTAGAATTTTTTAATAGTGAAGTTATTCTAGTTATCAAATTACTAATAATAATATATGTATGTTTATTTTTATTTAGCGATCCCCGCACAAAGCAATACATTTTGTATTTGAGTGAAAGCAAGGCATTGGGTAAAGAATTTGTTGAATACGATTTGGATGCAACCCATATTTTCGTTGAAGAGGAAATCAAGGAGAAATTGGAAAAGAGGCTTGAGAAAATGCAGGACGTTCTAGACGGTGTTGTGAAGAAGAAAAAGAATGTCATAAACAAACATGAACCGTGGGCTGCAATACACGCCAGATTTGGTATTGAAAATTGAAAACGTTCTCGTAAATTAGACGTACATAGCAAGATGCTAAATTAAATAAAATAAATAAAAAATAAAATAAAACATTTTATTTACAAAACTTGTGTTTGCATGTAAGTATTTTTATAGAAACTTAAATAAATTAAATTAAATAGTACAATTGTCCTTTAAATACTTTTGGCACTACGTATGAATTACAATATCATTCATAGGTCCTCGACAGTAGATTTTATAGTACTACATTTGAGATAAATTTTGAGGACTTAAACATATATATTATCCTACAATGGTACATGATACATAATCAACAAAAAAAGCCCAGTAGGGGCAGTCAAGTGAATATATCCAATGCTTCTAACCAAAAATTTACTCGTTACTGTTCAAAATACAATAATTCTCTTTATTGACATATCCACCAAAATAGTCACCCATGCGTTATGGTCGGCTGGATTGCTTGACTGAATCTTATTATGATAAGGTTGATAATCCAAATAAAAAATTTATCATCATGGAGTGCCTTTAGATAGGCTTAAACGTCATTTGCAGTTTGAAATGGACAGATTTGCATCTTTAGCGACACTTTCACTAACAGCAACAATTTTTTTAAACTAACATTTGCTTCAGTAAAACCTTCACATTAGTATATTTAGTTCCATATTATTTAAATTTATGTTAATTATGTTAACATAATCGCTTTATAAACCATAATCCCTGCACGAACAACACCTATTATAGAATCACAATTTTGTAATTACTTTTCACATTGTGAGGTAGCAAATCTTAATGCCTTAGATAATTAAGAAACAACTCAAGGTTTCTTAACCACGTTGATGCATCTGATCATATAACACTTTCTGTGCGAAATTATTTTACCAAAATTAACGTCGACATCAAACTGCAAGACCTGTATTTATCTGTCTCAGAATTAAATTCCCACCTGAAGTTAAGTTCATCAGTGTTACTGCATCAAAAAGATATTGTTTCCGTTAAGGCTTCCAACAAGATCGGGTCATTTCAGTCCTAATTTTTTTGAAAGGTAATAGTCTCGTGACAGCATTTAACAGTATGAACTAACTTAGCAATCCGAAGAGATGTAGCGATTCACTGATTCGATTAGTATCTTGTTCACTTGATCATATATGTTGTAGTAATTTCTTTTCCGATTTTTTCGATTACTTAATGGAATGTTGACATAATCAAGTATTCACATAGTTGAGTGTATACTGCAAAAACACACATACATATAAAATATAATGTTATGCATATATAAATAGTATTATAAATATATAAATAATATTATAAATACAAAATTATTATAAATGTAAATAAATATATATAACTAAGTAGTATATATTGCTTTTACCACAATTTGATTATATATAAACACTTTTAAATGCTTAGGGACTCTACGGGTATTTTATAAAATTGTCGATATTTTTAAATTGATTTTACAGTACAATAAGCTTAAGAAGTTTAATGTAGCTTTTCTGAGTAATACACACAAAATCAATTTTATGCATAAAAATTATATGAAAATATGTATTTAATAAAGAAAAATAACAATTGTTACAAATATTGCATTTTATAATAACAAAAAAGCAATGCTGTTTTCAACGTATTATAATTAATAAAGAACTGATTTTTATATAAATGCATAAGTACATGCAGCAAATAATTGCAATTGTTTTCCACTTAATCGAGCACAAATTATTTAAATTCAATCACAATTGCATTGGTAGATGAGCAAATTTGTGGCTTTCATGTGCCTACGTATAGATGCTCTCATATCGAATGCATCGGCATACTTGTACAGGATTGAGCTGGCATGCAGTGTAGTCATATGTATCGGCATAGCATGCCGATATTATAATCGCTTCTGCTCTATATTATGGAATATATTGATATTATGGAAAACATAAATAAATATTCCCACTACCCACCTAAAAGTCCCATAGGCTGAATAAAAAAAATCTCTAAACCGAAAAACAACGCCACAATAACATATTCAAAGCACACAGCAACACTGGTGGGGCAATAAACATAGCAATAAATACGCTTTTAGTAAATGCAACAAAGCCGAAATGTTGCACAAACAGTTTTGGCATTTATATCTGCATTTTGTATGGAATCGAAGTAAAAGTTGAAACGTGATTCTGCTGGAATATGTTCTAGCCACTTTATAAAGGAGTTCAATATCATTTTCCAAGAGACTGACTATTACGTTTAGTTACAGGTAATTCTGAATACAAAAGTTACTGGTTCTAATCGGTTTATTGAAAAGACCCAGATTTCACTTAATAAATAAAAAATACAAGTTTATGCTACTAGTTTACATAGGATTAGACTAACAAAAAAGCTATTAATAAATAATACAATACACAATAATATATGTCATTGGAATAACATCTTTCATTAAAGACCGAATGGAACACATCAAGAATGCACAACATTTAAGGAAAATGCTATTGAAACAGTATACCACAATCACTGCCATCGTAAATAATCTATCGCATGGGCTTTCAAACTTTTTCAGTAATGATTACCTATGGAAATTCAAAGCGGATTACTAAATTTTATTTCATATATTTAATACATAATAATTTCATTTATATCTTTTGAAGATATAATTTCTTTTCGCAGAAGTCTGGGAATTAAAATTGCTCCCGTGATCAAAGTTCTTAAACTGTAATCATATTAACTAGGTAAATATATTAAAAATTAACCCATAAAAGTATCATGCGAGTTAAACTATGCCAAAAAGTAAATTAATTTTAAATATAAGGTAGAAGATTCAATGTATTCCTATCTCATGGAATATATTTTGGTTTAGTTAGATTGCAAAAATATTCGTAAGAATCTATTAGCTCTTTATATTACTGTACAAGACTAGATGGAGTTAAAATCATCTGCAACATTTGGTAAGGCTTAAAATACTCTTTGATAATAGATTTAGAAATAGGACTCCCTATAAAACTAGTTACAAGCATGTTTTATCTTTATTTTTCACTTAGGAAGAACCATTGTGAGAAGAAACATTGTCAGAATAATGCAATCTGTTAGTACACTTTCCTGAGCGACAATAACCAAGCCACAAACCTAATAACTAATATCTATGGGAGACATCTAATTCTTTGTTGTTAGTTGAAATAAAAAACTATTAGTTAATTTTCCATTTTATGTACTTAGTTCCTACATTCGTTTTAAAATTTTTTTAACATCTTCGTCAGGGCGAAGTACTATTACAGCTGTCTACTATTTATAATTTTACTATATTTTATATTATATACATTTATATTACAATGTGTTATTATATACACAACTGAGAATAATATTTGTAATTTTCAAGCAGTCATTGGATTGTCTTCGAACACTTTTGAATTAACAAGACCACTACGATATAACTCTTCACCACATAAGTAAGCATTATAGTCTTAACTATTAAAAATAATTAAATTTAATAATTAAACTCATTGCTTTCATATATATTATACGTTATGCATAATGCATATACATATATATTGCAAAAGCTAAGAGATTTTAAATAAATTTAAGTATCCATAAAAAAATATGTCGATAAAATTGATGTCAAAGTGCATTCCATAAATCGCAAAAATATCAAAAGATGATGCTACTATCAAATACTCGTAATCATAAAATAAAACTCACACAAGATACAAGTTTAAAAACTGCAAACTACAAGAAAAAAAACACCATTATTTGGAAATAGTTGGGTATACCACATTATTAGGATTCCAGCTTGATCAAACAATCGGACTTAAAATAGGAAAATATTCCATTGACATATTTCATATTTAAATTAACTTAAATAATATAAAAAAATATAACTTTTGAATAAGATGAATATTTACATGTATCGAATTTTTATTCTATACAAATATCTTTTATAAAAGTTTAATAAGTTTTTACTAAAGGTTATTACATTTTTTTAATATTTACTCGCATAGCCCAACGTGTCCCTCAGTATTGTCCCTCCATATTGTGTACTGTTCTCAGTAATTTTTGTTGTTGTTAAAGGTAATGATGCAGCATCCAGCGCTGTTATCTTCAACTTTTGCTGTTACTAATAAGGCAGATACGAGTATATACGTTCATTTCTATATATGTAAGTATATATAAATCGCTGGTTTGTATATTGTTAATGGATTTTATATATGTTTTATTTTTTCCCTTTAAAATGATTCATTTATGCGTTTAAAAGTGTTCATATAAAAGACTTAATAATTTAATTAATTTTGCTCCTTGTAAACTAAAAATATTTACCTGTTCCGATATTTTTGTATGCATAAGATTGGAATTTTATATTGTATTTACAGGGTTACCATATTTTCTTATATTATTTTATTAAATATTTTTATTAACATTTTTGCTCCTTAACCACACAGACGAGTATATTAAAACTCTTGCTTGTATCCTTGCGTATTCACTTTTAAGATTTAAGTATTTTAGTTTTTGTAAGGAAATTAATTAATTAATAAATTTGTGTACTATAAGTGTATATCTTTATTTATAAATAAATATATGCGACACAAGTTGAAGGCAAGAAGGCAGAAAAAAGGCGTGAAATAGTGTCGAAAGAAAGTGACGAAAGAGATAAGAAAGTAGCGATAAAAAAGCGATAGGTGAAGGGAGGCGAGTGGTAAACCCGGATATGAGACAGGATAGAAAGGAGAGACTTGAGTTGAAGACGAAAAAGATAAGAGAAAGACTTCAAATAAAGGTAAGAGGAAGAGGCAGAGACCAGAACACGAAAAAAAGAGCTGAAAGTGAGATAAAAGAGAGGCGAAGATGAAGCAAAAGAAACCTAACATCAAAGTTGTCACATGAAAATTTTTTTCAGTACCAATTTTGGTGCAAGAAGGCACCATTTCTTTTAAAAAGGGTCCAATTTTTTTCTATTGTCTTTAAGTAAGAAAATACAAAATATGTAAAATGTACAGAATATATAAAACAGTAAATCTTTTTATCCATATCAATGTTATTATTTAAATAATCGAACTATCTCTTGCTGACCATACATAGTGCATATCGTTTTAATCAAATAGTTATTTACATCACATAATATTAGTTAAGGTCTTAAACTCTATTCCGATCAACATTTTCTTTTACTTTTTGTGATCGCAATATTTTTACTAAATCAATACAAAAAATTATATTAGCTTTAATTATACATATACGTATATGACTGTTATCGCTATCTGTTGAAATCATAAATATTACCAGCATCATCAGCTAGCGGTTTTCCTTTACATTGAAACCTATGGGTCATTCTTTTACAAACCGGACGGATTTTGGCAAAAAATGACCTCATGATCTCCGATTTGGCTGAAATTTTTTTTATGAGTTTCTTTCATAAAGTAATAAGACTCGTATCTTGGGAAAAAATTTTGTGATTTTTTTCCTAGGAGATATGAACCCATGGGGTTTTGAGAATACATAGATACAGCATAGATACAGTGATATAACTATGTAACTATTAAATTAAATTTCTTATTCATGTTTAGTAAAGAACCTTTTTATTATGTTTATTTATTTTGTTTATAGACTATATAAGACTATAACATTCTTTTAGTTTAAAACGCAGTACTTATATATGCTATTTAGATACGTCAGATATTGAAAGACCCTCTTCTTTTTCTTATTCTGTTTTTATAAATAAATGTTTGAGTACTAAAGTACTACATGTGACAACCGTACCTAACATTGATCCGTGCGGTTAGCAGGAGAGAGATACAAGTATGAGAGAAAAGAAATGGAGGTTAGATAGAGGCAGTATAAGTACTCATGTGAAGATAATACTTTAGTCTTCATTTTTCTTACTTTTTTATTTATCTTTACACAAACAAAATATTTTTATTAAATAATTTTGTAAAAAACGATGTTCTCATAACTTTTTTTAGATGATTGTAAAAATTTTTTCCCTCCGGCCCCCTACATACTCTATCAATATTTATTGTTGTATTATATATAATTATAGATATAGATCGAAAGAGCTTTTATATAAGTAAAGTAAAAGATTAAATGTAGTCAAAGGAAAAACATATATCTAAATGATAAATACTGTAAGGAATTTTACAAAAATACTGTATCAAATTTCAATATTGAGTAAAAGGGTTAATAGATTTTTTAATGAATTTCGGCACATAAAGTATATAAAACACTTAACGAACAATATTTGGCACAATTTCTCTTTCGAACAAGAGTTTTACGTTATATTGCTGGACGTCTTGCTACATGAGAAACTTTCAGACGTAAGTAGGTTTATAGAAAATATTTTTTTTTATAAATTTGCCTAAGCTTTGGTATCTAGCTATATATAATTAATCTAAAAAAAATGAGTAGATCAGTTTAGATTCAGTTATATGTAAATTTAAAATAAACTGGTCACTTTACTGCTCAAGTATATAAGTAATTTTTTTTATATTTATATTTATAAATAGATATCGGTATTTATAAAGAATTTTATAAATTCCATATAAGACCAGCTGTGTGTAAGTCAGTAAACTGTCCAGTTTATTGCAAAGTATATAGTGATATTATATAAAGAGAATAAACAAATTTGAAAGACATTTGTAAAGAACGTAAATAATTTCACACACAACAATTTACGTTAAAATGTATCTTATGCTTTAGAAGGACAAATGTATATATTAACAATTTATGTATTGCAATGTATTGTTGGTATTTTTATTTTTAAATATGTGTATTTCAAAGATATACTAAGATTTGTTTACTAAGCGTTCTGTAAAGGTTATTCAAAAAGTCTGCACAACACATAACATATATATTATTTTAATTGGGTAGTTTTAATATAATAAATATGTAGATGAATGTTCATTTATATTTAATAATAAATTTGGCCAATTATTAAATACTATTGTATTACTATTGTAAAGCAAAATGAAATATAAATACTTGTATATTTATTAGACAATACAAGACGTATCGTTCTCAGTAATAATAACATGGAAATTAAATAAAAAAAAAAAAACCTATATATAGATTTATATAGATTTATTTATTTCAAAATTGGTCTTCCTACTCGAATATTCATGACTGCCAAAAAAATCAACTAACCACGCAATTTCTCTTACTCATCAATTAAATATTTCTTATTAACGCTATGTAATGAAGAGAGGACTACCCAAAATGTTATTAAAAAGGATATATTCCTTGACAAATTCAAAACATTTGTGACAAAACGTGAACACGAAACGTTTGTGACATCTCAATTGAAACGTTTTCATCGCTTGAGAACATCGCGTTCCCCATGAATTAAAATGCACTCAAATATTTATGCAGTGCAACAGCTTATACCGACCAACAACTCCAACGGGACTGAAAAATAAAATCCTACAAAAACAAAAAACAAAACGAAAACAACGAAATATATTACTAACAGCAATAATAAGATAAGCAACATTGCACTAAAAACAAGAACAAAAAAAAAAATTAATAAAAGTTTTTCGCCTCAGTTTCCTTAGTGACGTCAGCTGTGGCAACAACAGCTGCTGCAACTGCATCTGAAACTTTCAACAAAATGAATTCTCATGCTTCGTGTTTTTTCAAGCACAATTGCTCGTGCTATTTATTGTTGATACAAACATTATTTGAACCACTGCCACTGTTGCTGCTGTTGTTGCTGCTGATGTTGTTGTTCGATTTGTTGTTGTTAGAGCTGTTGCTGCTGTTGCTACAGTTGCTACAGTTGCTACAGTTGCTACTGCTCTTGTTGTTATTGCTGCTTATTTAGTTACATGCATTTAACGTTAAAAGTAGCAACATTTTGCATTTGTTGCTGACACCCTGGTTAGGATGTCGTGTCACTGTTCTACATGCAACGGAAATTTTGTATATATAATCTTGTTAAATAATTATTGAGCGATACTGTCTCTTATCGTTTATGCTTCATGTCGTGTGCATTTCACAAACGGCTGTGATACTTCTTAATTGACATTTGACTGGAAGGATATTGTGTTGATATGAATGGATGCGCATGAATGTGGATGCAAATATGTAGGTACCATCTAAGTAATGGATCATATAAGATAGAATCAACGTCAGAGTTCAGTTAGTTAGGTTATCCAATAAGCCAGAGATACAAGTTGGTTCATTGGTTCGCTGGTTCGTTGGTTTGTTAGTTCGTTGGTTTGTTGATTCTATGGTTGCTATGATAAATAAGATTAGTTAAGCGTAAAATAAAATTAAAAAGTTAACAAAAAAGTTGAAAGCAAAATCTTTGAGGAAAATTGAAAAGGAATATTACTTTGTAATTAAAATTCAAAGCTAACAAATATGAATACTTTAATTGTAAATATGTATGTTGAAAAGTTTATATGTAAACTTCTTCTGTCTATATTTAAATTATTATATAATTACTTGACTTAGAGATAGTCGATGATAAGCACAAGCAGTGGAATCGTTTATGACATAGCTTGTGGCTTTACTAGCTTTACATTACATACTCAATTAATATGTAGATAACAGAACATATACCTCGTATTTATCATAACATTAGTTATGATAAATATGAGAGAAATATTATATAAATATATATCTCACACCTTTTCAACAGAACATGTGAATCTTTTAAGAAGTTGCTACAGAGTAGTTAGAATAGCTTTTTAATGTCGCACCTCTAAAAAATCTCCAACTAACTATTTGAAAACATCCTCACTATCACCTGCTCTTCTATTCTAAATAAATTTATTTTAATTGGAGAAAAATAATTGTTATAATACAGTACATATTCATATATCTCGTGGATATCATGCCTTCCAGCTTTGTATTAAAGTAAAAAATATTATTAGTATTAATTAATTAACTAATTAATAATTTATTTAATTTATTTTAAATTTTATAATATTCTTGAAACAAAATATTGCATTTTAAATTACTGGGTTTTAAAATATAAGAAACCACCTCAATAAAATACATTTTTATTCTATTACATTATTTTTCCCAAATTAAGCTTTTTTGCAAGAACTTTATATTGTTCAACTGAAATAACGCGTATTTCTTTGTTAATGATCAGTTTGACCATATCTTTTTCTTGAAGCACATAAATATCCTTTGTGGGTTTGTATTCGTAAAAGCGACAGTTTTCTAGTTGTATCTTATATTGGTGATATTCCAACATCAATATAACTAAAGTGATTGCTGGTACATAGACACATGATCCAAATATTAATTTAAGAAGATTTCCCCAATTTTCTGGGATCAAGATATGCACCCATTGCGATATTGGCGGAAGTGTAGCAATAAAATATGTTCCCATAAATTGTGTTTTAGCAAACACAATTCCAAGCGTGGGTAGATGGGAATATGTTGAAAATCCATAACCGATAAGTAGAAAACTTTTGAAACTTTTTAAATGATTAAATAAGATATTGTACTTCATGATAAGGAACACCGCAATCAAATGATAGTTGAAACCCTCAAGTAAATTACAAATAATTAACCATACAATATCCGATGGACGATCCAGGTTCGCTTCCAAAAGATTCTTATTCTTCTTCAACACATAATTGTATAATAATAAGACCACACGAAGAATGATTACACAAAATCTTAAGCCAGAAACATGGTTCATCTTAAACGCGTTATACAGCTTTTCTGGGTTACTTAAAATTATGTTCACTTTACAATTTTCGCATTTCTTTTCTTGCCTAAGTTTTCCATCTACGTCATCGATAAACCATTTCGCCAAACACAATTTGTGCGCCAGTTTGAATTTACCACGGCATTGGCAAGGTTTGACGAATTCCTCACCAGTCCCAACGCTGGTTAAGCAGAAACGACACTTATTAGACATGTTAAACTACCTGGTAAAATAATAAATTGAATATATATAAATATATGTGTATATATATATATGATACTCACTTAATGGTATTATTGCCTAAAAACAAGTTGGAAGATGAGTAAATTTTTTTAAGGGTTTTTGGCTTATTAATCTCTTGTTAATGTGTTATTGGAGCACGTTACCTTTTGGTGTAAAATAATTATTGAATATATAATTTATATCACATTTTTTACTTACGAAAAATGGTTTGTATCCAGAATAAAATTTTTGAAAGATTCTTGAAATGTCAAATTACTTGCGAGTGCTGTAAGTACTGAATACAAAAATGTTTTAAAAAAATCTAGTAAACTTTGTTTACACCGACTCCATTGATACAGTTTTCTTACTTCGTCTTGACCTTACCTCAGAGAAAAGTGATCAGTTGTGCTATTCAAGTTGTGTTATTCAATGTTTGTAAGAAATGATATAACACTTTTCATGCATTTACTTTCAAAATTAAAACTTAAATAATTCTTACATATCATCCTATGTGTACTTTGGTAACAATAATCGAATGAATTGTTTTCTACAAGGTAGAATGGGTCAGCTAATTACTTAGAGCA